GACTCTTTAAATATACACTTTAAATTAGAACATAAAACTGTTTGCTAAATATTCGTTCCTTCTGTTAAATCTCGGGATTATATGCACAGTTTTATCTATACTCTCCAAAGGTATACAACTATAATGTAACGCATAATTATTCAATAAAGACCGAGGCCAGGCCTCACTCTTAAAAAAAAAAAGAAATTTTGAACTACACACTATTATTTTTATCAAATATAAAAATATTATAATTACCACATGCTACAAGCATATAATTATTAATCATAATTGATGAATGCTGATATAATGGTCCAACATGATTTATTTCTGATGGTACTGACCACTCATAATTAGAGGTGTTCAGAACTACTAAAGACGGAGTAGCTGCTAGCATGTTTCTTGTTCCACCATATATAATAACTCGTCCGTCTGAAGCTAAAAGTTAATAAGTAAATAATAGTATATTTGAATTTTTTTTGAATTTGTTAATACTTACTTGAAACAGCGGTAAATTCATTACGTTGACTAGGTACTGCACCACTAGTATTCTATATAATTATATATAAAAAATTAGTTGCTGAACCATTATTTAATGTGGTTAATAATTATAATATTTACAATAAGTTGCCATGAATTTGATATACAGTAATATCATATTCTAATATGCTGGTCATTAATGTCATAAGATTACTTTTATCACCTAAATATTCAGAAAAATATAATATTTTATTGCTTGACAATAAAACTTGAGGAGGACCATATAAAGTTACATTAACATAAGAGTTGTATATTTGTGGAATTGACGCGCTATTTGACCACAAAAAATTAATTGTATCCAAAATATCCACAACTTTTGAAATGTCCTGAGGTGAATAAGCTTTTCCATTATATTTATTAGAAATCCAAGGTCTAAAATATAAAAAATATTGGCTAGGTGTTCCTGTAAAACTAAGATTCCTTGCCCAGGTGCCTAATACAGTATTAAATGTATGAATAGATATTTTTTTATCCGATAATGATTTGCTGATATAGAAAATTTATCATTGGCTTCACCGCCTAAAAATGGCCAGCCGCTGGAGAGGATATCGTTTGTATCATTTGGCACATTAATTTTGATCCATTTGGATAAATTAATAAAGGTGTTCTCATTTAATGATATGTTTGATAAATCAATGTAATAAAAATCATCGTTAAGAAATCCAACAATGTATAATTTATTGTTGGCATAATATGATTTGCAGCGACCTAAGGAAGTTTGGCAGTTTATAAAATAAATGTAATTAAAAATTAATAAAGTTATGAAATAAAGCCAGAATAAATAAGACATTTTTTTAAGTATATATGTAGCGGTAGGGATAATATTCAAAGCGAGTAAAGTAGGAAATTTACTGAGCTATAAGTACAATATTGAGTCGAAGGCGAAAAATAATTTCATAAGAATTATGTATTACATAACACAAATCAGAACAAAATACGCATTTTTCCAATCATCATGCAACTTACCATCCGCTGGTGATCTGCAAAATGCCCATCTTTCGCGTCAGTAAAACGTTTAGTTATCTAAAGCAGCACCTGACTAGAATTAAGCTCCTGAAATTAGATCTTCATGCATCAACAACAACGTTGTTGCTTTTTAATACTAAAGCGCAATTCTTCGTTACGGTCAAAAAAAAAGGCACGCACAAATTTTAACAGAGATCCCTTGAAGGGCCCTGCGCAAGCAGGGCCTTCAAGGGATCTCTGTTAAAATTTGTGCGTGCCTTTTTATGAATGCTACACGGGAGCCTGCGAAGCAGGTTCCCATTACATAATATCACCTCAAATGCTACATGGGAGCCCACGAAGCGGGTTTCCATTTACATAATATACCTTGCTTCACAGGGTATATATTATATTATAGAGAGAAGAGAGAAGAGAGGAGAGAGGGAAGGGAGGGAGGGAGAGAGAGAGTGTGTGTGTGAGAGTGAGAGAGAAGAGAAAGAGGGAAGAGAAAGAGAGAAGAGAAAGAGAGAAGAGAAAGAAAGAAAAGAAAGAAAGAAGAGAAAGAAAGAAAAGAAAGAAAGAAGAGAAAGAAAGAAAAGAAAGAAAGAAGAGAAAGAGAGAAAAGAAAGAAAGAAGAGAGAGAAAAGAAAGAAAGGAAGGAAGGAAGGAAGAAAGAAAGAAAGAAAGAAAGAAAGAAAGAAAGAAAGAAAGAAAGAAAGAAAGAAAGAAAGAAAGAAAGAAAGAAAGTCATTTGACACATAGAAAAAGAGAGACAGTCATTTGACACACGAAAAAAGAGAGACAGTCATTTGATGTGTGAAAAAAGAGAGGCAGTCATTTGACACGTGAAAAAAGAGAAACAATCATTTGACACGCGAAAAAAGAGAGGCAGTCATTTGACACACAAAAAAAAGAAGCAGTTATTTGATATACAAAAAAAGAGAGACAGTCATTTAATGCGTAAAAAAAGAGAGGCAGTCATTTGACATACAAAAAAAGAAAGACAGTTATTTGATATACAAAAAAAGAGATAGTCATTTGATATATGAAAAAAGAAAGACAGTCATTTGATGCACAAAAAAGAGAGATAGTCATTTGATATACAAAAAAGAGAGACAGTTATTTAATATGCAAAAAAGAGAGACAGTCATTTAATACGTGAAAAAAGAGAGACAGTCATTTAATACGTGAAAAAAGAGAGACAGTCATTTGACATATGAAAAAAGAGAGACAGTCATTTGATATGTGAAAAAAGAGAAACAGTCATTTGATATGTGAAAAAAGAGAGACAGTCATTTGACATACAAAAAAAAAGAGACAGTTATTTGACATATGAAAAAAAGAGAGTTATTTGATACACAAAAAAAAAAGACAGTTATTTAATATACAAAAAAAGAGAGACAGTTATTTGATATACAAAAAAAGAGAGACGGTTATTTGATATGCAAAAAAAGTAAGATAGTCATTTGATTTGTGAAAAAAAGAGATAGTTATTTAATGTATAGAAAAAAAGAGACAGTCATTTGACGTGTAAAAAAAAGAGAGACAGTCATTTGACATGTGGAAAAAAGAGATAGTCATTTAATATCATCAGGAAATTTTATTACTAGATATATATCGATATATAACATTATATTGATATATATCGTTAAAAAAATATCGATATATATCGATAAACGCATTATTACTTGATATTTAACCAATATCGGCAAATATCGATTATTAGATGTTCATCGATTATACATCGATATCTATAATCAACGAATTTATTTAATCGCTATTATTCGATACTATCGTTATAACTCGATATATATCTTACATATTGTATAA